TGTTTGTCCAGCTCCTCTCCTGGTCCTTAGTCTTGTCCATGTAAGACAAGGTAAGCCCTAAAGAAACACCATGGGGGTTCGATCTGAATGAGTGAGTGTCTGAAGGACGAGAATGGATATGACAGGAACAACATAGAAAGTGGGTCTGGAACGACCCCTCACCAGCACAGAACCAGACAGTTAAGGAGTGGGAGGCTAATGGTGACAGTCCTTCTGGTCCCACAGGGCTGAATATACATGACAAGGTAGCAGAAAGAGCAATGATTCTGTGGATCTCCAGAGCAGCAGGATGGGGTGGGGTGGGGTGGGGGGAACCTCAGCAGATCACGTGGGCTTGGCCACTGGTTTCTTCCTGACAGCGCTACCTTGTTCACCCATGTACTCACCTGTGTTCTGAGATGTTCTGCAAGGGGCAGCCATTTATGTACCACTTTTATGTTCCCTGACAAAACTCCACCCCATCTTAAACAGATGACTATTTTAAAAACTTAACCTTGTATGGAGCAAAGATTAACAAACTAAAGTTCATGAGACAAACTCATCACTGTCTGTTTTGCAAATATATCTTTATTAGAAAACAATCACATCACTTTCATGTTGTGTATGGCTGCTTTCACAGAACAACGGAGGCTGAACTGTCTAGCAAAAATGAAAAATGTTACCATCTGGCCCATTAGCGAAAAAGCTGACCCCTATGTTAAGCAACAGCACTTATAAAGTTACACAGTTTATAAATGATTGTGTTCCCATACATATTAAAATAACTACATCTAAGTGGTAATTTTAAATGCGTGTCTGATGCATTGAGAAATGCAGTCACCAGAATTAAATGGACTTTCATAAGGCACACTGAGCAATGGCAGGAGGGCTGGCTCTCTCCCCTCCTGCTGCTCCTGCTTTTTGCAAGAGCAGTTCTGCCAACATGGATGCTTCTCCTTTCCAAAAGAATTTTCTCTCTCTTTAAATCTCCTTCTTCCTTCCTTCTCTCCCTTCTCCTTTCCTCTCCTTTCCTTTTTTTTTTTTTTTTTTTTGAAGGAATGACTAGAATCCATGAAGGGTAACACCCAAAGGTTTTCAAGCATTACCTAACATGGTAGAAACTGTATTGAACTTTAATTCTCAGACTCAGTTTATTAAATTGTGGTATTAACATCCTCAATTTGCAAAAGAAGAAACAGATGATCAAGAGAGGCCCAGAACTTACCTGAGGTTCCACAGCCAGCAGGCTAATAACCTATACCACTCATACAGTTGTCTCCATGGAAACACCTCTCCCCCTCCCCATGGCCAAATCCACCCAAAGGAAAGGATGTGATACATATACAAAGACTGATGGTCACATAGGCTACGTTATTCAAAATAGCAAAACTCTGGAAAGGACAGTAAAGTTCAATGACAAAAAAGGTTCAATAAATTAAGGTATAATTCTATGGCAGAACATTAAAGAACCATTACAAATGATACTAATAAACAATCTTCTGACATGGGAAATAGTTTGTAGGGTTTTTTGAAGCACAATGGAAACAAGTATATTACACTCATTTAGTATAATGCCAATTAAATAAAAATACATATTGACTGGCAAAATATACGTGAGACATCAGGGGAACAGGCAATAAGGAAATATCTCTGGAATTGCTAGCATGGATTATTTTTATTGAGTTTTAAAAATTATTTTGCTGTATTCCTTTAATATTTTATAACATGTTCATACATTTTTACAGCAAGAGAATATACATGTTTGTAAAGCTGCCTCACGTGAAGTTCAGCTCCTGCCTGGCAAATGCGAGGTCGTGAGTTTGAAACCAGATACCAAAAAAGAAAGACTGAAGTTCAGATTCAATGTCTGTACCCTACAGACAACTAGATTCTAACTCCGACTCTGTACACAATATTCTTTGTCCAGTTATTACTCTTTCATCCACTTTACAGTGTGTCAAATTGGCAAACTACAGTGAGTTCTTTAGTATTATTCAAATACAAATGATTCTTATAAAAGCAGCAGAATAAAAATGAACAGGAAGGAATGAAAGGATTATGATCTGGACAGCAAAGAGCAAAGCATTCTATTTCCTTATTCTGGGGAAGGTAGGAAGTTTCTATTTTTAAGTTTTCCTGGCCTAGATGGAATCCTAGTCTGGATTCACCCTCAGAGCCACCAGCTTTGGGCATTCTGCCTGAACATGGGATACATCTGTAGATAGCCTATTACACATATACACACAAGGTAACTGAATCATACGCCTACTGTCTATTTTCTGAACCTCATGGCAGACCAAAAAAACCCTTAAAGGCAGAGAGACACCCATTAGAAGTGTCCTTATCCTTCAGCGCTCAAATAGTTCAGTGCCACTTATCCTTTAGAAACCCCAGCAGCATTTATTGAATGAAGAGCTACAGAAAGCCTGGATTCCTACAGTTTCATCTGCTTAAGGAATCAGACAGAAGCAAAGAGGAAAATGTTACATAAAAGTGAGAACAAGAGTGAACTACTGCAGGGCCATCTTGAAAAGCTAGGTTGGTCAGCATTTAGCTGCACCCAGTATACATGAGGAGGCATGCTCCTTTGAATATAATCCAATTAGCCTATGGATTTAAATTAATTCTCATTTTGAAGAAGGCACGAGAAGGCCAGATTAGCAGACTAGGTCCTCTCTGTTCCAATTCTTCAGAATTTAGACTTCAAACAGCTGGAGAAGCAGTGGGAGAGCCGCATTTCTGTAAATAAGCTAACCTTTTTAGCAGTAAGTAGACAGTGACATTTATTATTTAAAACCTCAAACCTGAAAAAGACCAACTCACACTATAAAGGCTGCCATTCCCTAGGTTGCTTTCACTGGACTGGTCTCTCCTCTCTCGCCAGTTGTTGGCTAACTGTCCCTGGGCTGAGAACAGATCACTTCTCCTGCTTCTGACCTGGGCTTATTCCAAAGAACAATGCACCAGTTCTCATACAGTCTTTGGGGGAGTAACTCTCACAACTGAACCCAAATACAAAGCATAAAAAGAGACACAGACTGCAGGTAATACGTATTGAGATGCCAAAGAGAGACAGGGAGAGAGAGACAGACACAGAGGTCGGGGAGAGACAGAGACAGAGAGAGATGGAAAGAGAGAGAATGGAGGGGAGAAAGAGAGACAGTGAGGGAGAGACAGACAGAGACAGAGACAGAGACAGAGACAGAGACAGAGGATTAAAGGTTTCCAAAGTATATTCCAAAAAGTGCCTTACAGAATGACAGAACCAAACAACATACCCACCAAAAGAATCATTTCAAACAGAATCTTTCCAACCCACTGGCCCTTATGCAGGGAGAAGCAGGTTCAAAAGTTACAGCAAAGCCAAAAGTTAGAGGTAAACTTGCGTCCATGGGTCTCCATTCATATGCACCTCATCCCCGAGCTCCTGGATCCTCTATTACCGATGAAGCCTGGTACAGGCATCTGTTCCCCCTACTTGACATCCATCTCTCCTGTCCTTGTAACTTCCCAGATTTCCTTCTGGAGACCACCCTGTTCTGAACTCTTGAAAGTTTCAGTCAATGTGAGCTGTTTTCTGTGGGTGGGCCCAAGCCTGATCAACTTGCTGGTAACTTTCCTAGGAATTTAAATCCTCTGACAAGTGAGGCAACCCAGAAGATCATTTTCCTTGGGTCCTGGCTCCTGGCTCCTGGCTCCTAGAGCTCATCTACTTGCAAGACTGTGTCTTCAGCTCTTTACTTTCCTATGAGTTATGCTGCAGCCTCCTGTATTTCTTCACTGTTGTACAGTTGATTCTCACTAAGCTAGCCAGAGCTGACAGAAGGTGCCCTAAAACAATCCCATCTGATTTGGAGTGCAGGGTACTTCTTTGTTTTCTTGAATATATGCTCAAAATGATTTTCCTTGTTCAATTCTTAAGGAGATGATTTTTTTCTCAGTCACAAAGGACTGCTATCCTGTCAACAGCAGTGACCCCAAACTACATAATATTTCATACTTGATAAACCTGTGATAAAATCTGTATTTCAGAGAAAATGAAAGTAAAATAAAATTTTATCACACAATGGCTTTAAGGAAGAAAGGAAGGGAGGGAATCAAGGGGGGAGAAAGAAAGAAGAGAAAGAGAAAGAGGAAGAGAAAGAGGAAGAAGAAGAAGAAAGTAAAAGAGAAAGCCAGCTCATCCTTTTTCCATCTAGACAGGTCTTGTTCTATTGACTTTCCTGATATTACTGAAATTCATCATAGGGGACCTTTGGTTTTTTTCCAAGTGGACTTTACAAAGCAAATCTGAAGCCAGGGGCAGGATTTCCTTTATACTTTAGTAGTAGCTTGGAAGAAATCTGCTTTTTCTCATATGTGCCAACGAGATCATCAATCCAAACACTTTACCAGGAGTGTGATTTTAATCTCATCACCTTTGGGAAGTTACAGGTGGTCTTAGGAATAAGGGTTCACTGGAGTGCTCAGAGCCTGCAGCATGGAAAACGTGCTCTCCATTCTAAGAAGACCGCTCTAGGGAACTTCACTACAGAGAAGCAGCACTGTATTCATCAACTCAACTCTTTCTACTCCAAAGAAAACAGTTCGTGAGCAGACACCCAAAACACTTGTTGCCTCTCTAGTCCTTTGAGAAGACTATGCAGGATGCCAGGAAAACTCTCGCTTTCCACAGCATAAGACCCGTAGGGCACTAGGGTTGGTGGATTATAAGACTTGAAAATAGTGAGTAGGGCTATAGTTTTAAGACGTAGAATTAAGTGAGATAATATACAAGAGAATACTCTATAAAGCGTTCAGTGCAAAGCATCATTACCTTGGTGATCTTGTCAGTCACGTCAGTGAGTGGCCCTCTAAAGTTCATACAGAAAGCCAGAGTGGAAGCATCTCATGATCTACTTAGTGCAGACTGACTCAACATGCCCACAGCACCTCCTGGTGGTTGATCCCTGGAGTAGCGCCTTCTCAAAGCCCACTCCCCACCCTGGCAGCAGGAAAGCAGCAAAGAGCATCATACTTACTCCCTTCACTCTGACTGTCTTTGTTCGAGTTGTAGACCTGCAAACAGAAATAAAATATTTGGGTACATTTTATAGCACCTAGAGGTTCACTGGAGAAAACCATCACCTTCCTCCTTTCCTGACTTTGTACCATGAAATGAGAGACAACTTCTGACCCACAAGTATGAACCCTTTTACTAATTATACCCACTTACTAGTATATGCTTCAGCTGTTCTTAAACATGCACTTTTTAAAAATCAAGTAAATTTATGTGTATATACAAATAAAAAGGAGAGAATTTTAAAATTAGTTACAAACCATTAAGCATTAACTGTGCACCATGTAACGTGCTAAGCAATTCACACAAATTATCTCACATAATCTACACAATTCTGCTTGTAGGAGCTGTTATTATCACTGTTTCACAGCTGGAGAATCTGAGGCTTACAAAGGTTACCTAAGGTCTCAAAGCCACAAAGGCAGAGCAAGGGTACATTATAAACTGTTGAGACCAAACAGTGGGAAAAGAGACCAGCTACTTTTTACTCTATATATCTTTGTAAATTTGTTAGTAGAACATACTATATTTATAGTAAGTGATTTATGGAAATCATAAAAAGAGAAAGCAACTCAATATAATAAAAAGGGAAGTGTATCAATATAAAACCTTGCTGCAAGGGTCACCCAGCTTTTCTATCAAGGGCCAGAGAGTAAATATTTTAGGCTTTAAGGCCAAAAACAAATCAATATTGCACAGGTTCTTAGATCACAAGAGAAAATAAATTTCCACAGAATTGACAAAATTAAATTCTAAATAATACAATATAACTTTTGAAATAGAAGTCTACTAATTAGATAAATACTCTTTTTTGTTTATTTAGAGAGAAGGTATTGTTTTTAGCTCAGATGGAGTTCAAAGTTGATATTCCCCATAATCAGTTAACTATAAATGTGCAAACATAAGTACTACACATAGCTCATGAACTATACCAGAAGCAAGTGAGTGCTGGATTTGTACTGCAGGTCATAGTTTACCTATTGCTAATATTCTATCACTATTAAATAAGACAAAACCTCTGTTTCAAAAAAAGAAAAAATAGTGCCAGCTCCTTCGCTGGTAGTTATGATTCTATAGGTATCGAAAGCCACAGGGCAATGAGGGCAAACCTTTCAGAGCTTTCAATGATACAGACAGCCAGCGGGGGCACGCACAGTGCAGTTCCCCACCACTGACAGTAAAGTGACAGTCACAACTTAATCTATCCACCCCAAGCGATTCTGAGGACCACTCTGAGCTGAAAGGCACTTAACCTCTAAAGGAACCAAGCAAAGTACCTCAAAAAAGAGCCATTAAGCCCAAAAAAGACTTTTTCCCTGCTAAAAAAGTATGGAAAGAAATGACTGGTCAGGAGTAGGCAATGGGTCCAACTTTGCCCCCAGTCACCAGGGTAAGTCTCCAACATGACCTGGGTCTTTATTGCCTCGTTTCTAAAATGAATTAGTTGCTCAAAAAGGTCTTTGAGTTTTAAAATTCTACAGAAAAAAAAAAGTTAATATTTTCTTCCCTTTGTAAAGAAGACTAAAGCTGTACTCATTGACTGAAGGTCAGAAAGGTAAGGATTAAAGAAACAGGTTTCTTATCTTGCGGAGCACAGTCTGATAAGTAAATAGGCAAGAGGGCATGCACTTAAAAGTTCTAGCGACTCTGATTCTGGCCTGCCCTTCACCACTGGTCACTTCACTTGGCTGAACTTTAATTTTTTTCATCTACAAAAGAGAAGTGATGATGGTTATTGTCTACCTCTCCCAGGAAGACTGAGCATAGCTGAGACTTAAAAAGAAATGTATGAGAACACTGCAAAACTAATGCAGTCCTTGGAGCTGTACTGCTCAGAAAAGAAATGCTAACTGTCATGGAATTTGAGAGAAGTGCAAACGTCTCCACAAAGAAGTGCAAAAGTGACACAGAAGTTGTGGGAATTTCTATGACACAAGGAAGACAGTTACCCGCTTTCTCTCAGCAGTATCTTTATTATCTATATAAATGAAGAACTTGAGCTAGATCATGGTTCCCAAAAGGAAGCCCAAAGTACCTGCACAAGAACTTCCAAAGAGGCTGCGAAGAATCACCCATCTTTCACTTTCCTGGGCTTTACTTTGTGGTTATCAAACAAGGGATACTTACTGGCTTTGAAAAGTTTGAAGATCTCCTGAATGGGTAATTCATGTTACTTGAATTTGTTTATTTATACATACCTCTAACAAATATTTATTGAGTGTCTAAGACATCGCCTAAGGTACTGAGGATACTGGTCAATAAAACAGCTATGATCTCTGCCTCATGAAACTTGCCCATTAGTGAAGAAAAAAGAAATAAATGTACAAATATGCTATCTTCAATTACGAATAAGGACACCAGAAACAAAAAAAGTGAGTACTGTGTGTTTGATGTGGGGGAAAGCCTCTCTACAGGGATGAAGTTTGTGAGAGACCTGAATGGGAAGAGGAAACTTCCTTGGGCCAGCAGGTCCCTGAGACGGTAAAAAGCATGGCCTTTTGGAGGAGAGAAGGTCAGTGTGGCTGGCGATCAGTGCAAGGCAGAGAAAAGCAGGACAGGAGGACAAGGCCAGGGGCAATCGTCTATCCTGCAGTGCCTTGTGACTCAAGAGTGAAAAGGCAGCCAGGTAATAAGCTCGAACCAACAATCATAGTGACTGGCACTGAGTAACATTGGAAAGTTGGATAAAAAAGTAAAGGGAAAAGGTCCTATTTAGACAAGTTTTTTTTTTTTTTTTTTTAGCCATCCTTAATCACTGTATGTCTCCTATTAAATTCAAACAGTCTATCCAAAAGAAACTTGCCTCTATTTATAAACGACAAAAAAACTAGAAAGAAAGAATAGTAAAACACAAGGCTCTCAGCCCTTCTTAATTAGGAGGTGAGTTCATGCCAAATTACTTTCTTTCAAGGTTTCCTGGGTCTCAGGAGTCCCCTGCCTGGAACACCCAAGCATTCCCTGAATTCAAGAGGCGTAATCAATGATCCAAAGGCGCCAGAAACATGTGCTGCCCAATCCTTGGGGGCTGGGCCATTAATCTCTGTCTGGTTCAAGTAAATGAGCCAGAGAGAATGCGTTTTGAAATGAGGCTAATAAGCCATACTTGCCAGGACTACATGACCCAACACGGAAGGCCTAACCATCACAGAGGCCAGCTGGGGGCATGATAACAACTCTAAGGGGCAGTGCCTCTGTCTGCTGAGCACTTACCAAGTGCCACACGATAATATGTAATACTTGTAACACTATCTGGATTAAATCTAGTGCTGTCCTGAGGCCCACGGTTCCTCCCAGGACACAGAACTAGTAAGTGGTATACTATTCTAGCTGCTACAGGGATATTCTAATCCCCCCTTACCTAGCTAGGTAGTGGCACATGCACACAATTATCAAGTATGTCACTAGTCAGTATTATGCTTTCTATCCTGGCAAAAGCAAAAGGCATCCAATTTCACCCTTCAGAAATGGTTAGTCTGCTGCAGACAATGTTACTTATATAGATCACATAGTGTTCTCCTAGACTAAGGTTCAGAGGTCAGAGCAATGTCCTGAAATAAAAGATCTCTTTCATGGTGGCATTGTCCTATGAATAGCAGTCACTTCATATGCTTTGAGGTATGCTTCTCAAGAGTTCCATCTTCACAAGACAGAACCCAACTCCTGAGGATCAACTCAAAGGGACAAAAGTCATGAAACGTCCTAGGAAGACTGAAATATTCCACATACTTTCTGAACAACACATGCAACTTAAGCAAAATTTAGCTGTCCTGCTTAGCTAGAATATGCTAAGATTTGACCACTTTAAAGCATTTTAGCCCTTTGGCTTTGTGTTCTTTGATGAAGGTATGCTCCAGTTTCTCCTCAATACTGAACATGAAATCTGCTAAATATCCGTGCCAACGAATATCTATTTTCTTATATATATTTCTAGAGATAGAATTTGCATGTATTTATTTTATCAAGTCTATCTCTGAGTCATCACGAAACAGTTTCAACACATACAGTAATTTAAAAACAATGCCAAAGACGGAATCCCTGCTCTGTGTCAGACAGCATGCCAGGCATTCTATAGCAATTCAGTGTTCATACAAGCTGATTATTCCTGTTACAGAGATAGCTAAGGGCCTAGGAAGCATGGTCACCTGATCACAGTGGGCCCCTGAAAACAGGAAGAGTGCAGACAGGAACCACCACAGTCTATTTCCAGAACCCAAGCACTTAACTACTAACCACTTGATAAATAAGACATTGTGGTAGTGGTGGTGGTGATGATGATGATGATGATGATGATGATGATGATGATGATGACGACGACGACGAGGACCATGAAGGTAATGAGGTGTCATGGCAGCTACAGCAAGTGAGTCACTGGAAGAAACAACTTGCCCTGAGTCACAGAAAAGGAAACTGGGAATGGCCTTCGGATTTCAGCCTCGAGTATCCCACACTAACCCGTGTAACCAGCTGGCAGCTGACAGAGAAGTAACACTCTATTCCCTCCAAACCAGAGCTCCATCCTGAAGATAAACACCAGGGCAAGAAAGTAGGTTTTCAATACAAATTTCAGGGTACTGCAATTCTAATAGGTCCATACCCAGAAGCTACAAGAAGAGCATAATTTAATAAATTAAAAGAGGGTACAGAAAGCCTTCCTACGCTTTCTCTGTACTAAGATGTGATTTTGCAATAAATTCTGTTCACTGCTGAGCCAACTGAATTTACAGGTCCCTGGAGAATTAAGAGAGACTACACAGAGTCATTTGCATTCCCAGAATTTTTCTACCAGTAACCTTTATGACCATTATCCAAGCCACACTGAGAAAATACAGAGGTGTACTTTTTAAACATAAATTAAAAGTGTAAGTAAAACAATAATTAGGTAGAAGCAATCTAACTTTTCCTTTTGACACATAGCTGAATTAGTACTTGGATACAACACACTTTGGAACAAGAGCTACACAAATGAAGTGTTAGGCAAACTTTTTAAAATGTTCTTCCT